TCTGCCTGCCTGCCTGCGGGCCGGCCCGGCGAGGGCGCGGCGGCGGAGCTGCCCTCCCCCAGGACCCGCCTCCCGGGACGGCACCGCCCCGAGCCCGCACCGCCCGCTGGACCCGCCGGGGAGGCCCTGGAGGACCGAGCCCCGCGACCCGGTGATGCCAGCGATCGCTTCTGCGCCACTGTCCACGCCGTGCCCGCAGCAGGTGTGTGCGGAGCGAAGCCCTCGGTGCACAGCGGACAAAGCGGACAGAAGTCTGATCCCCTCCCCAGAACCCGGTGTGCAGTAAAGGAGTGAGAAGGAGGCGCGCAAAGTGATGCCCGATCCTTCCTTCCAGGGCTCTGGCCACCATGGAAGGTGGGTCCTTGGAAAGCAACCTGGGCCTACTGTCCTGTGCTTAGGGGGTCTTCAGAAAGGGGCTGCTGAGCCAAATTGAAGTAGAGCTGCATATACACACACATACACACACTACACACTACACACACACACACGACAGAGAGAGACACAGAGACAGAGAGAGACACACAGAGACAGAGACAGAGAGACAGAGAGGTGGGGAAGACAGCCACAGTCATTGGGGGTTAGTTTCCAGAGGTAATGTGGGGTGTGAAAGTTGGAGTTAACATTTGTCAGTATACTAAGTAATCAGGTATTAGGTGGAAGGTGTGGGAGCACACTGTGGTTTTGGATGGTTGTAATCTTTGCAAAGGTTACACCAGCCATGGTCCAAAAGCTATGTATGAGAGTATTATCTTACCATCCAAGAGACTATGATGGACAGCAGGAAATGTAAACCATCCACACTGGCCAAAGGATCCAGGTTACTCTTCAGTGGAGTACCAGGATAGGCCCAGCCAGTCGGTGGTGCCCAGCCTACCTGCAGCAACCCATCTAACTAGGCAGAGAATCAATAATAGTTCCCCTTCAAAATAAGACTGGGGTACCTGGTGTGAGTACCTACCTGTTAGTTTTGGGGAAATGAGAATACAGGTTAAAAGCTTTTGTGGGTGACCCTAATTTTCGTGCTTCATTATGCCTCCCACCATAAAGAGCCCCCACAAATTGCTCTCCTGGTCCTCCCTACAAGCACAAGACTGTGTCTCCAGCATACACTCAGAGAAATACCAGAGTGGAGATTCTACTTGTCTGAGCATGTCTGTGCCCTGATTCCAATGGCCCTAGGTATGGGACCTCTTGATTCTGGCTTTTCTGTTCTCTGAACTCTGTATAAACACCTTGCTTGACCACACACCACAGCCTTGGCACAGCTCTTGACTTAGCTCTGTTGTGTAATTTTATCTTCTATAAACTTAGGTTTTGCCTCCCCCACTAAATTATTATGGTGTCAAATATGATGTCACCCCACTTAGGATTTTCCTCCCCGGTAAAACCTCATTATTATTATATATTTATTGATGTGAACCTGTGCATCATCTAGATTTGGCCTCAGCCTCCAGGAAGTTCCCACCTGTACTTGATGGTGATGTGGGAGAAAAGAATTTACCTCACCATCCTTAGCCAACTCAGAGATCATTTAAAATAAAAACAAAACATGCAACCTTGGGCTAATAGAAACAACTCATGGGCATCAATTCTCAAGGAAAGGGGGATCCCTAGGGTCCCTTGATCTCCCTGCTTTGAAATGTCTAGGAAATGTCTCCTAGGGCTCAGCTGGTAGGTAACATGATGCTCCAGTCCCAGAGGGAATGAATGCTCAAGGCAGGTGTGTGTGTGTGTGTGTGTGTGTGTGTGTGTGTGTGTGTGTGTGTGTGTGTGTGTGTATGTATGTGTATGCATGCATTCATGCACACATACATGCATGCCCTACATGTATGTATTCACACATCTATGCACATTTGGGTCCAAGAATAGGTATTCAAGCAAAATCTCAAAGCATTGGTACAAAATTTTGCCACAATTCAATCTACTGGGTATTCCTGAGCACCTACTATGACCTGGGAAGGGGGATATAAAAGAAGATAGAGGAATCACATTTAGAGACTATTTGTCCAATTCTCATTTTATACATAAGTGAGAGGTGAGCTTTCCTTCAGTCACAAATAATACATCAGCAATGAGGTGATGAGGGGAGACTCAGCCAGCTTCCAGTCTGGTTTGGGGATGGGGAGAGATAGGTTCCATTCCACTCTTAGATCTAGATGAAACAGGCCCCATTCTGGGCCTTTGCCAGCTGCACTTTGCCCCCACAGACCCAGGAGTCTGAGAAACCAAGGGAACACCCACCAGGACCCCATTTTTCCCATGCTTCAGTGCCTAGGACTTCAGAATTCCTGCCCCTTCAGGTCCAAACTCACTTCCAGAGCCTGTGTAGTGTCTTCTTCTTCTTCCTCCCCAAAATGAGCCAACAGCTGGTATGTCTGGCCACAGGGGGTGGACAAGTAGTTGTTTGCAGGAGTGGGGTGACAGGACTTGGACAGGGGATAGGGTGACTTTGGATGTGTGCACAAAGCCCATGATATGAAGCAAAGAACCGAAGGAAGGAAGAGAGTGTCAGATGAGCTCCAGGGTCACATGGAACTCAATGATCCTCTTCACCACTCCAAAGAGTCTTAAATTCTGCCCTCGAACTTGGCCTACCAGGTGATTATGAAGGTCTGTATGCTAAGGGGTAAAGATGGGTCTTTTATAAAAGTTCATTGTTTGCTTGTTCACCACAGGCTTTGCTGACATCTGTGATGTGTGTGCCTCTGTTTGCTCTCTTGCCCTGGGTTCCTCTATTCTCACGGGTAGGTCTAGATACAAATGGAAAGAAAGAACTGACAAATTGAACAGCTAGAGGACAACTGGAAGGCAGAGGGGGTAGTGCTGAGAGTCCCAAACTAGATGTTGGGACAATCAAGTTCCATACTGCACTGTGAATTGTGTGAACTTATGCAGATGGTTCTGACTCACAAAATGCATTCTCTTACTTGATAATGGGTTTGATATGTCTACTGCAAATAGCTGTGGGTTGTTACAAGAATCATACAAGGGGCTAGAAAGATGGCTCATTAGTTAAGAGCAGTGGCTGCTCTTGCAGAGGACCCAGGTTTGAATCCCAGCACCCACATGGTGGCTAAACTGTCCATGACTCCAGTTTCAGGGGATCCAACATCCTCTTCTGACCTCCTCGGGCATTGCACAACATGGGTGCACTTACATGCATGCAGGCAATACACATAAAATAAAAATAAATAAAATATGTTTTAAAAAGAATAATACAAGATAAGGTGAATATCTGCTATGGTTTAAATGGAAAATGTCTCCCACTAGCTCATGTGTTTGAACATTTGGTCCCCAGCTGGTAGAACTGTTCTAGGGGGTTATAGACTCTTTGGGAAATAGGCCAGTAGAGGAAGCCCAAGAGGGTTGGTTATTGTTTCCAGTCCTAGCTCTGCATCCTGACACATCAAGACATGAACATGCAAGGCCATCAACTCCCAGTACCATAGAGTTGGCCCAGCTGCCATGCTTTCCCCACCATGATGAGTCGATATCTCCTGAAACCATGAGCCAAAATAAACCTTTCTTTCCTCAAGTTGCTTCTGTCAGGTATCCTGTCACAACAATGAGAAAAGTAACTAATGCAGTATCCATAAATCCTATTAAATTTCATGAATGCTTTGAGCACTTACTATATACCAGGCCCTATGATGGGCACTGGGGCACAACGACAAATGTCAGCTTTTCCTGGTGTTTACATTCCAGTGAAAGAAGACATGATAAACAAGAGAATATTCCCCTGATGACAGCTGTCTAGAGACTTTTAAAGGGGGAAAGACATGTGACCAGGGACAGTGCTACCATGCTAACTACAGCAGTCAGGGGCAATCACTTCAATAAGGTGACATTGAGCCACTGGGACACCTAGAGAAAAGGGTGCCGGGCAGAAGCAACAACTGTGCAAAGTGAAGAACCAAGCAGTACAAGCATGTACTGTTTACTGAGTTCCTGCAAATGCCCCAGAGAATAGAGTCATGAGCCATGAGGAAGATTATTTAGCCACAGTTTTGTTCCAAAGTACTTATCATCTTACAGGGAAAAATAAGTTTCAAAATGACTATATTACAAAACAGAAGATTACAAATGTCAGAGGAAGTCACAACATGTTCAAAAAAGGAAGTGTCTGTTTTGGTAGGAGGACTGAAGGAAAGCTTCACAAGCTGGGCTATAGCTCAGCAGTAGAACACTAGCCCAGCAACCGTGAGGCACTGGGTTCAAGTCCCAGCACTCATTTGTCCAAGAGCCAAACCTTAGGAACTGGAGAGCTAGAAGACTCCAGGTATTACAGGTTGGGGGGGATGGGATATGAACAAATATATAATGGTAGGAACATTGAGATTTCCCCAGCTAATGTGTTAGAGCAGCTGGAAATTGGGCCCCAACCCTGGCATCCAGAAAACAAAGCATACCACCCCTGGGCCACACCTCCAGCACTTAAACTCAAATGTCTGCAGATAAGGTGTAGTGTTTTAAATCAGTATCCGCCATAGGCCCCAAGTATTTTGGACACTTGATCCCCAGTTCATGGTGCTGTTTGGGGAGAGTCATGGAACTTTTAGGGAGTGGGGCCATATTGGAGGGAGCACATCACTGGGGGCAGGTTTGATAGTTTAAAGCCATGTCTCACTTCCAGTCCGTCTCACTCGGCTTCCTGTGTCTGTTTGAAGATGTGAGTGCTCGACTTTCTGCTCCAGCCACTTCTGCTGCCATGCCTCCCGACCATGATGAACTCCTATCTTTCTGGAATTATAAGTCT